GGAGCCGAGCCTAAGAGAAAAACAGTAGCTGCTTGGTAGCTGTCATGAAAGAGTAAGGAATTCTCCAGGCCAAAGTAGCTAGTCTAGGCAGCCACTGTGTCCTCCTCATCCTGGCATGGCTGAAGTGGGAGGTGGGCCTGGCCCAAAGTAAGGAAGGCAGCCTCTGCAGCTGCTGTCGAAGGGCAGGGCTTGCTGCCAGGTGTGCCAGGGCTCTGGCTCTCCTGCAAGAGGCCCAGAACTGTTATATGTGCTTGGCCACCTAAGAAAGCTGAACCACCTGGTGAACTATGGGAGCCGGTGGGCGATTCAGTCTGCTTGTGGGCAGTGGCTTTGTAAGGATGGTGGTTTTGCGGTCTCTGTCCCCCAAAGGCTTTCTGAGATCCATCTTCGGAGTTGTGAGTCCCACCTGGGCGTGAGAGCCACCTAAGTGTGGGGAGCTGGGTGTGCATCTGCCTGCATGTGGAGATCCCAGACAACCTGAGCGACTCAGGGTATAACACTTCCTTGGTTTCTTTGCCCAAATCAAGCATCCCAAGGACCTGCCATGCGCTAGCCACTCCCACTGCCTTTGTGTGATTGACCTTTGCAACAAAATTGGAGCAGTTAGCTCATAGTCAGAAAGGTACCGATGCCAGGATCAGGAGTTGAGCTCACACCATCCTTCCCTTTCCTTCCCAAACGGGTTGGCACCTCAGCCCCACATTCCTTAGCTTCTGAGGCCAGAAAGGACAAAACGATGTTTTGTTGTTGTTATTTGTTTTGTTTTTTGTTACACAGAGACAGTGTTTCTTGGTGTAGCCCTGACTGTCTATAGACTAGGCTGGTCTTGAACTCAGAGATCTGCCTGCCACCACTGGGCTAGACCACTAAGGGTTAAAGGCATCCTGAGTACTGTCTTCTGCCCCAGAAATTTTATTGCCTCAGAAGAATGTTTACCCCTGACAGTGAGCAAACAGTGCCTTGGCATCTGTCACTCAGGATTGGACTTGACAGGAGGTGGGGTGCTCTACTCAGGCCTCTGTCTTGTAAGGCCCCAGCTGTCTCCCATCCCCAGGGAAGAGGCAGACTGGGACCCTGGCCAGAGGCATGCTCAACGCTCTGTTAAACTGGTTTTGTCTCCAATCAGTCCACTCTACCCCTCAGGAGTCCCTAAAATTGCCTGCCTGACTGTTCTAGCTGTGTCTGGGTCAGGCTCAAAGCTCTGGCAGGGCTGGGAGTCTCTCAGATAGACAGGATTGGGTATTAGGAACAGCTCCACCTAGTGGAGTTATAGGAGCCAACGGGCAGCTTCCTTCAAGGGTCAGGTTTCTTCTACCCAGTGACACCTTCTTCTGTTGACACATCCCTCACATGGGCAAGGTGTTTCCTAACCCCTTTTTTGAAGCCTCATTTCAGGGCTCCCTCAAACAAACTGGAACAGATACCACCACTTTGACTAAGATTCCTGGGCTGGGCATGGAGGCCTGAGCTTGTAATACTAGCATTTGGGAATAGGAGTCAGCAGTTCAAGGTCACCCTCAGCTACACAGCCAGTTAGAGGCCAGCTACATGGTGCTCTTTTATTATTTTATTTTAGATTTACTTATGCATATGGGTACATATGTCTTACACCACATTCATGCAGTGCCTTTGGAGGTCAGAAAAGGGTGTAGGATCCTCCAGGGACTGGAGTTACAAAAGGTTGTAAGCCACCATGTGGATGCTGGGGATTGAACCTGAATCTTCTGGTAGAGCAGCCAGTGCTCTGAACCACTAGGCCATCTCTTCAGCACTAGTGAGACTCTAGTTTTAGCACAGGAAAGAAAAGGAATGAATAAAGGGGAGGGAAGAAGGGAGGGAGGGGAGAAAGGAAGAGGGAGGAAGAAGAAGGGGAGAGGGAAAGGCAGGCAGGCTGGTGAGATGACTCAGCCAGCAAAGGGTCATGCCAGGGAACCCAAGATTGCCCTCTGACCTCCACAGGCCTGTGTGGAGGCACACTTGCACTCAAGCACGCTCTTGGCTGCTGGGTCTCTGGAACATTCACACATATGCAATAAAAATGTAAATAAACCGTTAAAGGAATGAAGGAAGAGAACGAAAGAGCTAAGAGTGGGTAAGAGTGGAGCTTCAGCTAGGAATAGATGGCCATGCCAGATTCACCTCCTCTCATGCGCTGTGTGCACCCTGGGTGCAGGTGTGCCAGTGCAGGAGTTGCGTTTGGGTGAGGCCCTATCAAACTGCCAGGGTCAGAAGAGCTGAGGTAGAGGAACTGGGGCGTGGGTCTCTGAAATGACCCAGAGGAAATGCAAGTGGGCATCAGACTTCCAGGATGGGTCTGGCAGGGCATGGAGAGCAGGTGCTCCGGGGTGACCTCCTAGAAAATGTGTTCACAGCAGGCAAGCAGCAGGAGAGCAAGAAGACCCGGTGTCTCCCCATGGGAGGCCCCAGCAATGACTTTTTAAAATTCTGTTTAAAACCCAGAACTGTTTGAAGGCCAAGTTGAATAGCCACTAACTTGGCTATTTATATTTACTGGTTGGTTGTGGTGCCCGACATGGAAACAACCTCACACATTAGACAAGAACCAACTGGCCTACTTCCAGCCTTAGAGACCTGAGTTTGGGACTTTAAATGCACAGGCCAAAGATCACTGCTATCACCTTGTATCTGAGGCCAGAGACTCAGTGGCCTCCCTTGGATAAGAATTGGACCCAACTGCCCAGCTGTGTCAGCACTTAGCCCTGCACAGGGCAACCCCTCCCCCCCCCAGGATAGACACCTTCATTACAGAGACTCTTCCAAGGACCCACACAAGCCCCCAAACTAAAGATGCACATGACTCAGATGACAAGTCCAGCCAGGTTGACAGAATTCTGGTTTTATCCACAGCCATACAGTCACAACTGATATATATATATTTGTATTTATATACCTTTAAATTACACAATCATGTACAAAACAGGTGCATTGCTGAGACCACAGCACTTCTCGGAGTTTCACAAGTGTCGGAACTAATGGAGTCAGGAAGCCTAGGGCGGCAGACGCAGTGGCAGCGGGCAGCAAGGCAGCCTGGACTCCTTCTGGAACTAGGCTGCAGGATGGTGGTTTAACTGGGGACGAAACACATCACTGACCGAGCCCTGCAGGGTCCAGTGCAGCATCAATGGGGCCCTTGGGGAGTACAGGAGGGGTGTGGACATGGTAAGGGGTATGGTCCAGCCCAAGGTTGAATGCCCTGACACCAGTAATGACAGGTGGGGTTTGGCTCAGGGCTTTAGGGACTTCCGGGTTGGGGGGAGACCCTCCAGCACCGGGGTGCTGAGGAGCTTGAGGACCAAGTCTGGTCCCAAATGGGATCACTAAAGGTGGTTGTTCATAGGGGACAGATTTTCCAGTCCCTGCCCAGGAGTTGAGCAGCTAGAGTACTGGGGGGGGGGGCAGGCCTGGTCCAGTCAGGGCCACAACCCCTCCCCAGGTGCTGGGAAGCCGCTGGTGCAGAGGGGGAGCCCAGGCCCCAAGGTGCAGACATGGCGGCTTCTTGCCTTTCTGGGGTATGAGTGAGGGTGAGAGGTGGAAGACTCCTGCTAGCTGGGGAGGCAGGAGAAGCTATGGAAAAAGGAGGGCTTTGACTCCTCCAGGTCCTGAGGGGCCAAGGACCCAACCTAGGCTGCAGCAGAAGCCCCTAGGGCAGACAGTGACAAGGAAGCCCTGTCCGTAGGGTACCATGCACATGGCCATGAAGGGGAACTGACCCACCACAGGCCCCTGGCACAGCCCTACTCATGAGAATGGGGGGGGGGTCAGAGCCCCAGTGCCTGTCTGTGACATGCCGGTGTCACAAGAAGCGGGCAGTTAAAGGGGCCTAGAGAATATAGGTCAAACAGATTCCCTGGAGGCCCAAAAGGCCACCTGATTTGGGAAGCAGAGGGTGTCTGTGACCCAGGGGCCTAGCAGACATGAACTGTGAGCATGGGACTTCTCAGGTCCTTGTTCCCAAAGGTCCAAATAAACAGCCCCTGACCGTTCTCCCCCAGGGTCTTAGTCCACTTGTCTACTTCCCACCCCACCCACCCAAAGGAGAGCTCTACCCACTCTCCAGCCACAAAGGCCCTGTGTTCCCTCCCACCCCCAGAGTCCTTTAATGGAGACTCAGGCTTAGAGAAATAGGGGTGTGGTGGGGCTGCCAGCATCGTGGGGGGGGGTAATGTTGGACAACTGAAAGGGACAAGGAAGATACAGTGGCCATCCAGAGTTCCCTTCTCATGCCAGCCTGAGCTGCCAAGCTGAGAGCTCTTCTTAGTCTGCGTGTCTCCCCAGGAGAGAGGGGACCTGGCTGCTCCCCTGAGCCCCTGTATCTCCTAGGTTGGCCAGGTGACAGAGTAAGAAAAGGGAGGTTGAGAGCCCTGCATATTGGCTTCACGGAGGCTGATGTGGACACAGTGATGTCGGAGGGGAGGGGGCATTTCTGGATAGCCACAAGGGAAGGGGGATGGGTGGCCAATGGCTCCACCCCAGGGAATGGGAGAAGGCTACTGCTGTTACTGGCTTTGCCCTGGGCTTGGGTGAAGGGGGCTTTGCCCAGTGCCAAGGCCTTAGGAGAGGGGCGTGGCCTCTGCAGGCTGCTGAGTGGCTCTGAGGAGCCCTCTGCCCATAGCCCACACAGGGTTTTCATCTCCCAAAGTGGGCCCAGCACTGGGAGGGTTGGCACAGCCTAGACGGAGCATTGGCTCTTCCCCTCACTCTCCCGTGCAGTCAGGGACGCCATCACTTCCTCCAGCTCATGTCTGGGGAAGCGAAGGGAGCCCTGGAACCTGCACAGAGAAGGGTGAGCAAAAGATCGTGGCTGGGAGAAGAGCACCCCCAGGGCGGAGTGGAAGACTCACGATTGGGAGGCCTCCTCTTGGGGTGTGCAGGGAACCTTTAAGAGGAGAGTAGTGGTAAAGGGGGTCGGGAGGGATGAAGAGGTGAGGAAGCTGGGCTCTGGTGACAAGGGTAGCTGCTGGCAGCCTGGGATGGGCAGGACAGTGAGGCAGGGTAGTAGAAGGATCCAGAAGATAACCCTCAGAGCTCGGGAGACTCTTTGGTGGACTCTGTAGCACAGATGTGACATTGGGCTAAGTCCCAAGCCCCTTGCCCACACTGGAGCCATCATCCAATGCCCCACTACCCTGGCCTCCAGGTAGGCTGCAACTGCTGGGTCTTTGTATTTCTTCTTTTGTTCTGTTTTGACTTTTAAAAAAATAAAAGCTTGATCGGAAAATATGTCTGGAACTCTATGGCGAGGGGAGGAGGAGGGTGGGAGGCGGTGGACAAGGAGTGAGAGGACTTGGGTGAGCAGGGTAGCTATATGGCCTCGACGTAGTTGGCAGGATAGAGGCCCAGCTGCCCGCTGTCTAGCCGCCCGCGGCACCAGCCCTGCTCATCCTCCTCTCCTAGCTTGGTGAGCTCGTCTCCTGCGGAGGGGACACACGGACACCTTATTAAGAGTGATAGGCACTCAGACCAGAACTATCATAGCACAAAGCTGCTAGATGAACCCCTCTAAGGCGCCTCTCTACCCCGGTGCTCCAGTTGACTCACCCAGACTCAGATTCGAGGCTACAGGCCACTTCAGCCAGCACCTAGCTGGGTTTCAGCCCCACCTGCATGCACAGGTCTCTGCCCTGGCCCCTCACCTGCCAATCCTTGAAACACCTGTCTGTAAACCTAAGCTTTGCATGACCCAATCCAAGCCCAGTCTTCTCCGCTAGCTCCGCCCCCTCAGTCCTGTCCTCCTTACCGGCCTTGAAGCTGAGTTCATCTTGCTCCTGGCCATCGTAGTCATAGAGTGCCCGCACACGTACTCCCTTGGCATCGTCGTCGAAGGGGTTGGCGCCACCATTAGCCTCACTGCCCCCGAAGGGGTTCCCACTCTCATCATCTGACCACTCGGTGGCATACGGTTGGCCTCGGTCATAGCTGCTAACACTGAGGTGCAAATGGAGGTCCCTATCAGCGGCCTTGACCCCATTCCTATCAATACCCTCTCCTCACCAGAGCTTGGGTCCAAATTCTACGGAGGCCGGGGCAGAGACTGGGTGCACAGGGCGGTGCCAGAGCCAGTGACCGTCTGACTACTTGAACACTGTGCTCTGGTGTGTCAGCTCCTGAGGGAGGAAGTGCTGCAGAAGACCTGCGACTTGTCTGACCCTGTGAAAGGGACGCTGTCCCTAAACAGGTGCCAGCTAGGAAATGGAGTAGAGAGCCTTCCGTGGTTCTGAGGTGTGACCTTGGGCATGTTGCCTCGGCTCTCTGGACTGGAGGACTGGAGCTTCCCTACCATTAAAATGGGTGCATTTGCCGGGCAGTGGTGGCACACGCCTTTAGTCCCAGCGCTCAGGAGGCAGAGGCAAGTGGATCTCTGTGAGTTCGAGACCAGCCTGGTCTGCAAGAGCTAGTTCCAGGACAGCCTCCAAAGCCACAGAGAAACCCTGTCTCCAACCCTCCCCACCCAAATGCGCACATTTATACATTGCCAGGCTGGCCAGAGGCTTGAATCCATTAATGTAAGGAGAATGCTAAAAATACTGTGTGACCCCACAACAGACATCTTGAAGGGTCTCCCACCTGTTTTTCAGAGGATGCATAGCAGCTATGGTCTGGGGTAATTTCTTGTCTTCTTGGATAAAATGTTATCTGTTCCAGGATGTTGGTCTCTCTCCTAGCCAGGAACTCCATGGGAGGTACTCACCTGCCTCGGTCCCCAGCCTGGGATGTGGACTCCACAGCCCCTGTGGCATTGCTCAGTGTGGCCCCCTCTGCCTTCTTAGGCTGTTTCTCCTTCTTGGCAGTGGTGTGGGGGAGGTCTGGATTCCACTCCTGGGGAGGGGGGAGAGAAGTCAGGTAGAAGGGTCTGAACTGGCAGTCCCCTCCTAACCTACTGAGGATTTCCAGGCACCCCACACAACCTCACCTCAAACTGAGGCCAGTTCATGGGCATCCCAGGGCCACTGGTGCTGCGGAACCACCTGAGGTCCTCCTGAGCGTCAGCTCCCCGGATGGCCTGCTCCAGCTCTCGGTAGACATGGGTGTAGCTGCAGGAGGAGGGGGGCATAGGCTTTCTTCTCATTCCATCCAGAGGCCAGGATGCTGGGCACATTCCTAGCCAAGAAGCAGAAGCCCACCCCCTCTTATTTTTAAAACTGTATGTACGTGTGTGGGTGTTTTGCCCGCTTGAATATGTTTGCACCAGGTGTGTCCCTGGTGTTCCCGGAGGCCTGAAGAGAGCATTGCATTTCGTGGAACTGGAGTCAGGGATGTTTGCAAGCTACCAAGCAGGTGCTAGGAATTGTAGTGCTTAGCTGCTTAGCCATGTCTCCAGACTTTTAACTTTTTGGGGTTTTTGGTTTGTTTTAGTTGTTCAAGACAGCATTTCTCTGTGTAGCCCTTGCTGTCCTGGAACTCACTCTTGTAGACCTCTTGAACTCACAGAGATCCCCCTGCCTCTGCCTCCTGAGTGCTAGGATTAAAGAGGTGTGCCACTACAGCCCAGTGTTTTTTTAAACATTTTTTCCCCCTGCAACTTGTTTTGAGTCTCTGTATGTAGCCATGGCTGGCTTTGAGCTCATAGAGATCTGCTTGTCACTACTTCCCAAGAGCTGGGGTTAAAGGCGTTCAGCAAGATTGTTTTTTTTCAGATTTATTTTTATTTATGTGTCTTGTGTGAGTGGGTACCATATGTGTTTGTGGCCTTGGAGGCCAAAGCTGAGCCACCAGGTGTGGGTGCCGGGAATCCAGCTCTGGCCAGAGCTCCAGCTGAGCCATCTCTCCAACCCAAGACTTATTTATTCTTGAATTTTATTTTATGTGTATGCCTGTGCACGTGACTGCGAGTGTCCCCAGAGGCTAGAGGGTGACAGAACCTCTGATGCTGCAGTGACAGGCAGCTGTGAGCTCCCTGGTGCTCTCAGCCCCCTAGCGGCCTCACCACAGCCATGTACCACCACCCAAGCTTGTGTTTCCAGGGTAACTAGTGAGCCTGGCTCACACCTGCAGCAGCCACTCCCTCTCCTCCCATCACCAGGTCTGGGGTGCCTGCACTCCTGTTACGCAGCAGGCCATGCCCAGGTACCTGCTGTTCTCCGCTAGGTTGAGGTGCCGTTTGATATCCAGCAAGACTTCCTTAAGGAAGACCAGTCGCTTCTCCTCAAATTGCTGGCACTGCTCAAACACCTGCTCCATGCCCTCCATGTACTGTGGTGTGGTTTTGCCCACATCTTCCAGCACCTTCTCATACTTCTCCTGAGTCTGTGGGTACCAGGGTGGAGGTCGGGGTGAGGTCTTAACAGGCCTGCAGCAGCTCCCAGCTACCACCCTCAGGACCCCTGCCATCTCCCCACAGGTACCTTTTGCACGTCCTGCCTGCACTTGTCCACCTTGTCGAGAAGTTTCTTCTGCTGCTCAGGGGTAACCGACTGCTCTGTCTTACTGTTCATCTCCCGAGTCATGGCCAGTTTCTCCTCTTTGCAAGCCAGATGATATGCCTTCTTGGCTGCCTCCAGCTGTGGGGAGAGGGCCAGGGTGGGCACACATGTGGTCACCCATCACCAACATCTGCCTGTCAACTCCAGATACCCTCACTGTGGAGCTGCCCTCGTAAGAGGCAAGGGGCGGCTGGTCCTGGGTCCGAGGCTTCAGCCGTGACTTCATCTGTTGGTGCCGCTGTGGAGTCAGCTGGCTGTGTGCTAGGCACCAGAGACCCCACGTGGACAGTTCTTTCTTTCCCTGTGAGTCCCCTTGCCACCCTTGAGCCGCCCCCGCCCGGGCCCCTATCTGTCTGAGGCACCTCCTTCATCTTCTTGGCCCAGGGCTTCTGGGCCTTTCGGAAGCCATCTTCTGCCTCCTTGGTCTCCTTGAAGCCACCCATGATCTGCTTGTGGTAGGCATCCTTCTGCCAGTTCTTCACTTTCTCCAGGTCCTCAGTCAGCAGGCTGTTCTTCACCTCCTGGTGCAGCTCGCTCACCTTATCTGCCTCCGTCATCATGGCACCCCAGGCTCGCTCCAGGCTGCCATACTGTGGACCTGTGGGACATGTCAGGGAGTTGCAGGGACTGCCATCTCCTTTTTCTCCGATGCTTCCCCTCTCTTCCAACTGCAACAGAAACACCTTTCTTCATCATTCCCAAACCTGTATCCATTTTTGTTTGTTTGTTTTGTTTTTTCGAGGCACCTGTTTCTCTGTGCAGCCTGGCTGTCCTGGAACTCACTCTTAGACCAGACTGGCCTTGAACTCACAGAGATCTGCCTGTCTCTGCTTTCCCAGTGTTAGAGTTAAAAGCATACACCACCACCCCAGGCTAGTTTATGAGCTGTTTTAAAGTCCCTGATTATGACAGATGAATGGCGGTGACATAAGCAACCGTTGTTCTCAGATATGTGGAGAGTTCAAATAGTTCAGAAAAATGTACAAATTAATGGAGGAAAAACCTGTCTGGCAGATCCCAAGGCTAGCCTGGGCTACACAGAAAAACCAAGAAAAAGAAAAAGAAGAAGACGAAGAAGAAGCAGCTGCCAGATATGGTTGTGCACAGTTCAAACCCAATACTTGGGAAGCAGAGGCAGTTTGATCTCTGTGCCGGCCAGCCTGGTCTACAGAGTGAATTCTAGGTGCCAGGGCTACAGAGTAAAATTCTGTCCCAAAGAAATGAAAGAGAGATGAGGGAGGGGAGGAGACAAAGAGGGGAAGAGGGCAAGGGGGAGGGAGGGAGAGAGAGGGGGAGGGAGAGAGAGAGGGGGGGAGGGAAGGAGGGAGAGAGAGAGAGAGAAAGAGAGAGAGAGAGAGAGAAAGCTAGGCATGGCCGGCCACACCTGTAATCTTTGATTTAGAGACAGAGAGGCAGAAAGATCCGGACTTCAGGGTATTTCCACATAGAGGATTGGAGGCCAGCCTGAATTACTAAGATTCTGTCTCAAAATTAAACACAAAGTTACAGTGAAACGTTAATTAAAGTTAACTGGTGAAGCTGACTGATGGGTGGTACTCAGGGCTTCTCTGAACAATAATGTGACTTTTCTGGAAGTAAAAATAAAGTGGTAATTGTGTGTGTTTTCACTCCAGAGTTGTACAAAGCAGGAGAATGAAGGGTCCCAGGTGGTGAAAAGCCCTGTGGCTGGGATGCCGGTGCACCGAGGAGCCCTCCCTGGGGGATCCGCTAGAGCCCGGGCTGGGGCACCTTTCTCGATCAGCTGGCGCCAGCGCTTGGCCCAGTCGGTGAGCTGCTGCGCATAGGCTTTCTCGATCTTGGCGCGCTCCTGCACACAGCTCATGAGGTCGTTGCACAGGCGGTGGCCATCGTCAATGCGTTTCACCGTCCGCTTGTAGTTCCCCACCTGGCGGCAGAGCAGCAAGTGACCCGGAAGCCCCTGCAATCCTGACCCTGGACTGCAGGGAGCGCGTTGCCTCCTGCCTCGTCCCGCCCTCCGCCATGGGGACTCCCAGAACTCCACCGTCAGACCCCCATGATCTCCACCTACCCTCCTCCTCCAAAGCCTCCTCGCTGCCACAAAAAGCAGAAGGGGTTTTATATAATTTGGACATGGGCTGGAATGAATTATTCATTTTGTTCCTGTGAGCTAAATCTATTATATTTACACCAGTCATATAAGCCTCAGTGTAGCTACTGTTTCTTGACATAATATTATGTTTTGTGGACATCTCATTAAGCACTTATTAATCTAGGCCTTCGAGTTTCCTTTTCGGTTTCCAAAGCCAAAAGCAATTTTTTTTCCCTTCCAGGTCTCAAATATTCTCCAAAGCTCTTTAAATGCTGGTTTGTAGTCTCACCTCTATCTGTATGAGGTTGTGGGGTCCCTGGGCTCACCCAACTCTCTGGTTCAAAAGTCCATCCCATGCTCACCATGCAGAGGGTACAGTGGGAACAGCTAGGCTATGAGAACTGTGAAGTATAGCAGACGTTGGTGTGAAGGGCTGGCAATAGTCCAGTCTTAGGGGGGGCTGGTCCCAAAATGTGAACTGTGACAGCCTCGTTCTGGTGCAGCTTCTGGGGAGCAGCTGCAATTTTACCCCACTTTCAAGGCCTCAGATGCCTGTTGGCCACTGGGGATTCTGAAGAGGCCCCAGGAGTTGGGGTGCAAGGTCACAGGTTGAGTGGGGGGGGCAGACAGGAGCATAGACCTCCACTCACCTCCCAGAAGCTGTCGGTGACCTCGTCCGAGGCCTCATCATAGGAGCCAGACATGGTGAAGCCGGAGGGAGCTGGGCAGGTGTGAATCTGCAGTCAGCAGGTTCGGCTGCTCACAAGCTGCCAGGGAGAGACCTGCAAGAGATGAGGGAGTAGTCCATGACCCATTCCAGGCCTGTGTCCCTGACTCACACAGGAAAGTTTCTGGTGGTGAGCCTCAAACTGGGATGGGGGCTTCCTGGGAGGGCTTACCATCCTGAGGATAACCCCAAGATTCAATCTGCACACCTGCTCCTCCTGCCTCCTGGGATTCTGCTGAATCTTCCTAAGGAAGTCCTCTCTTGCAGCTTACACATGCCTTCTCCACGTATCAGTGGGCTTCAGTTGTTTCCTAGATGGAACCCCTCTCTTCTCTGGCACCAGCTACCCTGATGTAGGTGGATCTGAACACTAGATCCAAAGAAGGTCCCTGATTCCCCAGACCCCAACATAGCATCTCTGGTCTTGTGCCCTAGAGCCCCAGCCTCTGCCATGCAGTTCCCTGGGAGCTGACAGGAGGCCTTTCTCCCACTGAGCAAAGGGCTTTCCCAATTTTTCCAATTGAGCCTTGTCCATCTTCTTTTGGCTGTCTGAGCCACTGCCTCAACAGCCCCATTAGCTGCTACAAGTCCCCCCACATAGCTGAGCATGTTATTCTCTGGCCCTGGGGTCACACTGTGATCTACACACTGCGTCTGCCCTGGATCTGTCATCAGGCATCACAGTTGTCCAATCTAGGTCATGCTCTGCCCCAGGGGGTAGGGGGTACACCCCTCCCCTACTGGGCCTTGCTGTCCCCCCACAGTTGAGAATGGCTCAATAGCCAGGAGACAGCACAGAGGGCCTGGCTTTCAAAGAGAAGGCACTGCCCCTGGGGCACTTCCTTGACTGTGCAATGCAGCTGTGGGACTGAACCCCAACCAATAAGGTCTCTGGGTGAGGGCCAACCGGCTCTGCAAGCTTCATGTCCCCCTGGGAGAGGGCAGGTAAACCCCATCCAACCACTTCCAACTTGGGGCAAGTGGCAGCAACACATGAGGATCCTTGGTCAAGAATGTCCCTCCCCCAGCCTCAGTCACTCCTGTTCAGGGCCTGGTGCCCCATTCCTGTAATGACCCGGTATGGCCTTCTTGTGCCACCTGGGGCTGAAGATGGAATTGCTTCAAGCCTCTGGGCCACAGTGGACTGAGAGACACAGCGGAGGACCCATTCTTTATGGTCTCACAGGATGGAATTCTTCCCACAACACCATCTCTAGGAATTCACCTTCAGGGTGCAAGCCAAGCACACACAAGCAACCATTTGGGTCAACACAAATCCATGTTCCCAGGACACTGGCTAAGTAAATTACAGTGTTGACTTGCAGCCTGCACCCCATCCCACTGACAAAGTGATGTGTATGTGTATTTGGGACTATTTTGGGAAAACCACAAAGCAAAATGGGACCAGTGGTCAGCTTCAGGGAAGCATGTGACCTCGAGGGGGTGGAATGGATTTCTCACAGTGGGTCCACCAAGCTTCTATGCTGCTACTTGTGAGTAAGCTGCATTTCTTTTAAATAACGTGCATGACTTTAAAAACCTTTTCTATGGAGGCATTTTTTCATTTACAGTTGACATGGGACGGTCCAGCCCACTGTGGGTGATGCCACCCTGGGCAGGTGATTCTGGGCCCAGTGAGAAAGCAGGATGAGCAAGCCAGTAAGCAGCTTCCCTCTGAGTTTCCTGCATCTGCTCCTACCTGACTTCCTTCAATGACAGACTGTGATTGGGGTGTGTAAGTCAAATAAACCCGTTCCTCCCCAAATTGCTTTTGGTCATGGTACCCACCCGGCACAGCAACAGTGTGGCTAGGGCCTAGAGTGTCAGGCTAAGATGGCACAGGCCTCAGGCTTGCATGACTCTCCTGGGCTCCCAGTTGAAGTGGCATGTGGCGTGAGAGAGGTCCAGTGACTTGTCCTGTGACTCGGGGCAGTTCATGTGGCCCTTGTGGGCCTTGCTGGAAAAAGACTTGGCTTCAGAATTGGATGAGAGTTTGGAGAGATGACTCAGTGGTTAGAAATGCTTGCTGCTCTTCCAGGGGACCTGAGTTTGGTTCCCAACACCCACTTGAGGAGGCTCACAACCACCTGAACTCCAGGCACCAGGCCCACACACAAATATACACAATACACATGATTAAAAATAAAAGTCTTAATTTAAAAAAAAGAATTAGATGAATTAGCAAACCCAGCCCACAGCAGGCTATAGGCACTGCCACGTTCTTCTTAATGACAAGGCTGTTTCTGTTAGGGGTCAGGAAGTGGGTGTGAGCAGCATCTGGCACTTCCTATGACACACCCAACAGGCTCCTAGGCTAGGCAAAAGGCCATCACACCCAGTTTCCCTGTAGCCTTTCATCATCAATATCAACAGGTGGTAATCACAAAGCCACAAAGAGACTAAAACCCACAGGCAGGGATGTCACTGTGAAGAGTCTGTCTGCCGGCATGGGAACAGTCATTCCAAGGTGACCAGCTGCCCGGCAGCTAACACTACCTCAGGCCATGAGGGTCATGGCAACAGCCAGTGTTATCTGTCCTATGTGCTGTACTCATTGAGCAGCAGCTGGGGGGGGGGCAGACTCTAGGATTAGATGACCACTTGGCTGGACTGAAGGGACACACAGGACTGACACAGCATGCGGTCTGTGCATCCCTGGGCACAGTTGAGGAGGGCTCTGGTAGAGAGTGTCTTATGGGGGATGGACACAGGAAAAGGAGCCTTCCTCCCAGTGTGCACAGGCACCTACAGCCAGCAGGGGGTGGAGGGAGCTGAAGAAGGAGGGTACTGCTGGCTGCTCTCCTGCCCAGCAACATGAGAACCCTGCTCCCCAGCCTCCTGATGCTGGGGATGAGATGTGCACCAGCAGCTCCCCCACACCCCACTTTCCTCTCTCTCAGTCTCTCAGAAAACCCCCTTCTCCCCATCTCCTTCTGGCTGCTGGTCTGTGTCTCTTGGGAAACCCTCACTAGCAGCCCCTGAAGGGAAAAGGTACCTAGGATTGGGAGCAGAGTCCTGCTCCCAGTCCATCTTCTTTATTATATCGCTCATTATTGTTGTTGTTGACAGTTCTCATGACAGGTAGCCTCAGATTCACTACATAGCAGATGCTAATCTTTCATTTCTGATCCTCATGCCTCCACCTCCCCAGTGTTAGGATCTCTGGGCTACCACGTCCAGTTTGTACTTGGCAGGACGGCTGCATGCTGGCAAAGGCTTTCAGGTGAGCTGCAGCCCCAGACACTGCTGTCAAAGTGGTGCTGATATCAGTCTTGGCTGTCACCAGCTCGCATTTACTGAGTGTCCACTATGTGTTATGTACTGGTCTACATGCTTTATACATACACCATCTACATTTGGAGACAGGAAAACCGAGGCATGAGGCAGATAATATGGCACATCCAGGGCCACTGAGGTAGTGCATGGTGGAACTGATCCAATCCTGGTTACATATACAGTCCACACCACTATTCCCGTCCTTTCAGAGCCGCGCCTCCCCAGGAGGTGAGGAGAACACCAGAGGGACACAGGGATGAGGCCAGAGGGCATAGTGTGTGTGTGTGTGTGTGTGTGTGTGTGTGTGTGTGTGTGTGTGTGTGTGAAGCAGCAGGCCAAGGTCACACAGCAGGCAGGCAGGCAGGCAGGCTGGCGACTCTGGGCTGGCTCCCAGGTATCCAACCCAGCATTGTAGTGTCTCTCCAGACCTCCTGGTCAGCCAGAGCTGCCTCAGGTTCCACACATGCCCAGTGGCTCCCAGCACTCTCCCCCCTTAGAGATGGGAGGAGAGATACCAAAGCAGTAAGAAGAAATGGGCTTAGGGGTGAGGTGCTGTGTCCCCCTGCCCTGCCCTGCCCCTCCCAGTCCACAAGCCTCCTCTGGTTCATGTTCCCTCAAGTTCCTTGCCCCTCATCACTCACACAAAGCCCTCCTAACCCACCCTCTCACACCCCAGTTTTGCAGTGCATTGCCTGTGAGCCATATAGGACTGAAGATGGGCTTCAAACATAACTCTGCACTTCTCAGCTGTGGAACCCTAGCGGGTTACTTCAACTACCTGTGCCTGTTTCCTCATTTTAGAAGCTGGGGTGGGGCGCATGCCACCTATCCTGGGGTAGATGGAGAATGCAGCAGGCCACCAACACACACAGTGGGCAGAGGCAGGCCTTGCTCTATGGTCAAAATCACTGAGTTAGATAACACCTGGAGCTCCTTCAGAGCTGCTGGGTTCATCTAGGATCCCCAGCGTCCTGGTGGGAAGTCAGGCCCAGGTCTGGCTTCCTCCCCTTCTCTGGGGGTCTAGAAGTCAGGCCCTGGGCAGGTGCAGTGGCACCTACAATCCCGGCACTCAGTGGGGCCAAGTGGAGAATTAGGAAGTCAAAACCATCTTCCCTATAAAGCTAATATAAACCAGCTTGACCTTCAGGAGACCCCCATCCCCAATAAAACAAACAAACAAACGTGTATGACCCCATTTCATCTGCCAAGGGACCTTTTAGAAAAGACAGTCACAGACATTGGCCACCAAAGAAGACAGGAGAGGCAGAACTGCAGTCTTACCTGTGCAGGACACCAGGAACACCCAGGGCCCTGTCGGCAGCTTGGTGGGCTGTGCTTGGAGGGCGTGAGAGGGCAGATCTTCAGGACGGCCAACCTATTCTTATCTACATCCTAGCTGCCACTCGTAAGCAAGCTGAGCACCTCTCACCCCGCCCCAGAATGTCACCCCCAAACACAGCCTATTCTCAGCTTGGTGAAGGAGCCAGCATACCCAGCCCCACAGATCAGCAGCTTCCCTGCCTGGGTGAACTGTTGCTGGATGAGAGGGCACAAGATGTCCCTGCTATACTGACAGTCAAGAAAGGCCAGGCCTCAGAGCTGTGCCACAGGAGGGAGGCTCGGCCTTCACACCAGGTTTTAGCTCCAAGCCTGCGGGGCACAGGGAACCAAGGGATTTTAACGTCCCCTTCAGTCTTAGGTTCCCACGGACACTACCTCCCCATCTTTGTCTCAAGGCAAAGCGTGGGGGGGCCTTCAAAGGTGGGGAGCAGAAGCGGG